CCTAGATGCGTCTATGCTTCACTTAGCTCTCTTTGAAACTGAAGATAGATATGAATGTTTCTTGGGGAGAGTTTAGAAGCTCACCCCTCTCCTGTGTGTGTGTGTATGTGTGTGTGTGTGTGTGTGTGCGCATGTGCGCGTGTGTATCTGTGTGTGTGTGTAGGTGTCTTTAGTCCATTCAAGAGCCTTTGGACAAAGTTTAACACATAACTCTTTTCCACAAGCTAACCTTTCATCTCTACCCTCGCCCCACTTCACACGCTCACTTCTGAGAGAAACCCCCCCCCTCACATCTTTCTGATCCTCACCAACAGTTGTGGTTATATAGTTTGGATGTGGGCTGTACCCTTAAGCTCATGTGTTTGAACACTTGGTCTCCAGCTGATTTGAAACCTCTGGATATATGGCCTTACTGGAAGAAGTGGGTAGCTGAAGGGAGCTTGAGGTTCATCACTCATCCCTGTTTCCACTTTGTTCTCTGTTTCCTGACTTCACCAAGATGTGAAGATGTGAGCAAGCGACAGCATGTTCCTGCTGCCACAGCCATGACCCATTCTTGCCACCGTGCTCCCCACCATGATGGAATGTATCCTGAAACTGTGATCCAAATCAGATCCTCACCCTCTTGAGTTGATGTTGTCAGATATGAGAAAGATGATGTCTCTGGATTCCAGTTTGTATGATCATGACCTAAACTCAGCCATGCCTCAGTTAGCTCACTTGAGAAATGCGGTAGTTAAGTCTATTTGTCAGGGTGATTTAGGGACTTTTAAAATATATGTCTTGACCTAGGGAGACAGTTCAGTTGCTAAGGTGCTTGCTGTTCAAGCATGCTTTATCTCATAAACCCATGTTCCAAACCCAGGGCCAATGGCAAATGTTTGTCGTGCCAGCACTGAGGAGACATAGACAGGAGGACCCTTGGGGCTCCCTGGCCAGCCAATCTACCTTCTTCAGTGAGGCCCGTAAGAGACCCCCACCTCAAAAACAAGGTGGATAGAACCTAAAGAACAACATTCAACACTAGAAGTTAAAAAGTGGCCCTCTAATGCACAGGTACATACACGCGCGCGCGCACACACACACACACACGTACTTATGTCTCTGTGCACATGCACATTTTAATAGCCACTGGTTCCCAGCAAGCACCACGTAAAAGGCTTGCTTTCATTACCGTTACCCTTTTCTAGGAAATTGCTCAAACAAAAGTCGGTGCTGCAAAACATCCGTCTAGGTTAATGAAACATGCAGATCAAGAGATATAAAAAAACCCCAACCCTCATCATCACGATCCTCCTATTGAGAAATCACCATTAAGGAACCGCTGCCTTCAGTCATCTCTACGGAGTTTCTTTTTCTCTCGGGTAACCAGCAGCTCTTCTTAAGGGAGAAGCTACATATTGATTTTAAAATACTTTTGAAAAAACTCTTCTAAAAATGTCAACAAAGCTGAATTCGAAGAAGGCCAATAATCCTCCACACTGTTGGAGCCAAGATATCCCCCAGGCTCACGAGCTAAAGACTTCCTCACCATCTTCTGGTGCTACTGCAGACGGCAGAATGACTTGCTGGTTAGTGTAATGGAAGGATGTTGCGTCACTCGGGGTGTGCCCTTGGGAAATATATCCCAGCCATACTCCCTTCCTTTTTGTTTTTGCTTCCCTGATACCATGTGGTCTCTGCCGTGACTTTCCTTACTGCCACAACCCAAATACAGTGGAGTTATGAGCCAGACTTCAGTGACTATGAGCTGAAAGACACCTTTACTCCCTGTTAAGTGGCTGGTGCCGGGTATTTTGTCACAATGGCCACCCCATGGCCCTTAAGTTCATGATTCTTGTTTCTAAAGCCGTTACGAGGTTGTCCAACAACCTATCAGACTGTTGGCTCTACCTGTTCCTGAGACTGTCACAGCAGTGATGGGGACATTTTCCAAGGAAAAACTACTTTTTTATGAATGGGTCATGAGTCCATCAGTCAAGTAAGGAATTTGAAGAACTAGGGGAGAGATGAAGGCCGAGGAGCAACTGTTCATTGTCCATTTCCAAGTGACCGCGCTGCACAGATGCTAAAGACACGTAGAACACGTTAAAGCGTTGGTTTCTGATCAGGTCCTTGAGGAACAGCTGAAAGAGGCACAATTCAGTTTCAGCGAGCGCATCACGTTTCCCCGCGGGTGCTGCAAGCAGTCATTGCAGGAACCAGGATCCCAGGCTGCACGGAAGCCACACAGCTGGCAATCAGATCGAGGTGCGCTGCCAGGCTCTCCAGGTGCCGGCAATCGCGCCCCATCAGGGATAACGTCTCATCCTTAAAAAGTCAGCAAAATCCGAGCAGATTTTTCAAAATGTGTCTGATACTTTGATGTGACATTTTTTTCCCCACAAGATCCAATTTCCTCGCAGCTTTACTTGATCAATGTTGGCAACCGCCTAAGTTTATTAACAGGTGGTGTTGGCAGGTTAATTACAGGAGGAAATTAGCGCACGTCAGCGGCATAGGTGATCACTCCCGCTTGCACTTGCCTCAGATTGCAAATGACTTGTTACAGCATCCTGTTCAGCCTTTGGGCCAAGGGTTTAGGCCACACAGAAGCTGCAGGATCCATAGCCTTGCAGTAAGCAGATCTGGGTGGCCGGGATGTTTTAAATAACCGAAACACAAATTATTCCTCGCCTAGGGCTGCCGTAGCGAAGGACACCTGGCCATGAGGCTTAGGTGCCAGACTCTTCTTCTCCAGTAGTTCTGGGTGCGTCTGGTCCAAAGCCAAGGGGCTGGCATGAGTAGGAGAGGGACAGGAAAGGGCCCTTGACTTCTCTCCCAGCCTGGGGTGACTGCTCCGATTCTGGCAGTTTCTGTCTGTATCTTCACACAGGATTACCCTTGTAAACAGGACGGCAGTGCTAATGGGTTCGAGCTCACACTCCTCAGCTCATACTAACCTATTGTTCCTGTGGAAGTCTGTTCCCAGGTCGAGTCACATTATAAAGTACGGGCATGAGGATGGCAACATGTATATCATTAGTCAGGAGGAATTCTTTAAATTCGTACCTCGGTGTCACTCTCTGGTGAATGATGGTTTCGTCATTAATTGGATTAACACACCTAAAGCTGAAGAGGGAAAGAGGAACGTACCATGTTGCGTGACAATAAAATGGGCACCTGCGTCATCCTGATCTGGGTATAGATTCTGACCTGGTCATGTATGGTACGTGGCCTTTGAGGCGCACTTTGTTAATTACTGGAGGATTGACCTGAATTACCTTAGAAACTTCTCAGAGATACTTTAAAGTATATTTATTTCATACTTTTAGCATATTAACTTATCTAATCCTTTAACAAACTTGGGGGATAGGTACTATAGTCACACACAAGATATGTCGTTTGCTACTCATGCCGCCAGCAAGAAGCAAAAGCAGGGTTCCAGTACAGGAGAGTGACTTATAGACATGCCCATCGTGCAATGCAGGGGCTCCTGTCCTATATGTTGTTTCTTAAAACATAAATTCTTAGCTTATGAGGACTTCCAGGTCTGTGAGCCTGTAAAACTGTCTCTCCTTCCACTTCTGTAGCCTGCCTCCAATGCTTCTCCATCTTCACGATTGCTCCGGCCACAGAGTTGTTTTTGTTTTTGAACAGGCAGACTGTCTGGGACTCGGGACCTTCACATCTGCACTTGTCTCTGTCTGCAATGTTATTCTTTACCAATAATCCAATCGCTCCCTCCAAAGCCACCTTCTATCTGGGCAGTCTCTCTAAATGCACTATCTCAGTTTTCATCCTGTGGAGCAGTACCACCTGATGTGTGTTTATTGTTCAACTGTTCATTGCTCCTCTTTCCCCGGCCCTCGCCAGAAGTTGCAAATGGTCCAAACAGGATGGGAATCCTGAAGAAATACTCAGACTCGTGAGCCTTCCCACGTTCATTCACCACTGTAAAACCAGAACCGGGCAAACCACAGGGACTCGGGAAGTATTTGCAATTGAACAAATGCATTAAAGAGTGAGCTGACTCCCACGAGATCTGCTCTATAAATCTCGTCAGTAGTGAATGAAGTTTGCATCCCGGAAACCAGAACTTATTGAAAGTAGCACAGAAATGGGTTAAGAACAAAACAATCTCCACTGGGGCATCCCCTCGCCCCTCAATATTTAAGAGGACTCACATTGCTGAAAATCTCCATGTGTGGTGTGAGGCTCTCTGAGAGGCACAGAAGGACTCAGGAAGCTGTGAGGAGTGGGAGAGAGGGAGACGGGGTAAAGGAATGATACTGCCTTCCGGATGATGCTACCCATGCAGCTCGTGACTGCCTTACCAGAAACTTAACAAGAAGCCAAGACATACATATGACACTATAAAACAGAGCATGGCTGTCACAGTGTCTATTTTTGTGGGGGGTCATCTCACACCATGTGTGTACTTGGTTTAATGCGTAGGTATTGAGGGGGGGAGACACTTTTTAGAAGGGAGACATAAAGACAGTGCTCTCACAAGGGATTAATGTCTGTCTTGTGAGAGTGGGTTAGGTCTCCTGTACCTGGCTTCCTGACTGAGAGAACCAGCAGTTATAAAGGAAGGCCACCCAGCATACTGTGCGCGGTCTCGTCTTCACACAGTTATTTCATTTCCACCTCCCTACCCTGCTATAAAGCAGCTAGAAGCCTCTCCAGAGGCTGACCAGATTTAGCTATACCATCTTCATCCTGCAAAACCGAGGTAGCTAAAAAGTTTTCCTTCTTATGACGTAACCAGCCTGGATGATTCTAACAACACAACACGGACTGAGATGGAAGGTAAAGGATAGCAAGAGAAAGGGAAGGAGGGAAGTGTGAAAACCTTGTATGTGCTGGGCAGTGTAAGGATGCGGTAGAAAACAAAGATGAAAATCTAAGTGGGCCTCTGAGGAGCGCTGGCCTCTATAGCCTGTGCGTGTCCCCCTCAGAATGAGGAGACATGACAAAGCCAGCGACTGCATACACACAACAGAAGCGACCTCTGCATGCTTCCATTTGCCATTCTTTATTTAAGAGAGGAAGGAACCTTCTCAGAACCCCAGAACTCCATGTCTTAAGGCTCAGTTATACCAAGCCCAGCCTGGAGTGTCTTACACCAGGGTGACTCCTTCAGAGGTGTGTCCTCTCAGCGACAAGAGCAAGTCTCTGCCTGGTTTCTTTCACTTTCCTATCACATCTCCAAAGTACAGGTCAAATCTTTTCTGATGAGCTCTTCTGCCTCTTCCTTAACAAAGAATAGCTTGTCAGTGACCCTGGGTGCTGTGTCACCTCTATAGCCTTAATGATCTCACTGAAAGGCCTCACAGCAGAGCAAAGTCACCCCCATGGATGTTCGTATTGGCTAGGCAATCCAGATGTTTAAAAGAAACCCAGACCAAGCCCAGGTTGGAATGTGTAACACCAGTGACAGTGACACACGCTCGTCCCAGATCCGAAAGCAGAGCCAGTCCCCTGGCACCGCTGCTGTCCCTCTTCCGCAGAACCACTGCGTTCCGCTGTCAGAATGTCCTTATCAGCATCTGATGGCAAACATGAAGCAAGGCTGCTATATAAGGCCATTTCCAGCTGCCCCCATGCAGTTCTCAGGGCCAAAGCCCCACGGCCTAGAACTTTCTTCCACTGACTTCAGGAGAATGGGATTTCAGGAATGACAACATTTGAGTCTGATCACAAATGGGTAAATATTCTGCCATCATGGTATTCCTGACACCTGTGACAAAAAACAAAAAAACAAAAAAAAACATGTGTCTGAGAAGATGCCTGTAAATGGAGACTGTGCTTTCGTTTCCCGGTCACCCAGACCCGAAAAATCACACAAAACTGTATTGATTACAACACTGTCTGGTCAACAGCTCAGGCATATTCCTAGCTAGTTCCTACATCTTAAGTTAACCTATTTCTATTCTTTTATATTTTACCATGAGGCTCATGGTTTATTACCTCACATCTTGCGTCTTGGGTGGCTACATGCTGTTTGGCTGACTCTGCCTTTATTCAGTTTAGTTTTCCCGTCTAGCTATGTTATGCCCTGCCATAGGACAAAGCAACTTGTTTTTTTTTTAACCAATGGTGGAAAAAAAAAACAAAACAAAACATATTCATAGCATACAGAGGGGATTCCCACACCAGATGCCCCAAGTTTGGAATCTACAGAAAGCTAACTCCTTGGGTTCAAACAACATGTTCTGAATTGGGGTTCGTTATACACATTTGAAAAGGTATATCCTTTGATTACTTAATTTTAAGCAAATTTGAAGAAGAAATTATTATTTCTAGGGAGCCCTCCAATATCTTTTGACTAAAGTTCATCTCATAACATAGATCACAGAAAGACAGAAAGGGAGTCGGTATCCACATGACTAGTTGTGGGGTGGATGGAATGCACTTCTCATCCTCAAGATATGCTTCTAATTTTAATATTAAAAAGTACCAGAGGTGGTGTTACATAGATGTAATCTTCGCACCCAGTTGGCTGAAGTAGGAGTCTGTAAGTTCAAAGCCAGCTTGGGCGATGCACTGAGATTGTCTCAGAAATAAAGAGGGAGAGGCAATAGGGCACTACAGTAAAGCAGTGCTTTCTGAACACAGCAGGGCAGTTGTGCACATGAACTCATAGCAGCTGTGACAGCAGGCGAGGCCTGCCCAAGCTCGAGCCAGACAAAGTCCCAGCAAGGAAGAAGGAGGCAGTAGTGAAGCTCCACCCCTGGCTGAGGAACTACGGGCAAGCAATGGCTGCTACGAGTTGGAGGACCGGGTGTCTTCAAACATGCTGTTCTCAGAAGGCTACCTATGATCCAGTAGATGGCCCTACACCCAAGCACACATTGCAGTAATACATAGACTCAGTGGGTTTAAAAACAAAAAGAACACAGGAAACTAGGGAGGGAATGATTATGGAGAGGAGAGGGGAGGAATGGAAGGGGAGGGAGTGGGTATGAACTAGATCAAAACATAGTGCATGTGTGAGATTCTCAAACCAAAGATGAAGGAAAACACATTTAAAAGTTAAAATGAATTTGCACTTGGAAGCATTTCCTAGTTAGCTTCAGCTGTCAATCTGACATAATTTAATTCAGAGCTGAGGGAAATTGTAACCCATCTGGAAACTGCCTCTATCAGATTGACCTGTGGGCATGTCTATGAGACATCTCCTTAATTTTTTGTTTCATACAGAAGGTCTCAGGCTGGTTGTGAACAAGGCCACCCTTGGGCAGGTAATCCTGGGTTGTGTAAGAGAGTTGCCTGAAGGGTCTGGAGAGATGGCTCAGTAGTTAAGAGCACTTCTTGTTCTTGCAGAGGACTTGGGTTCGATTCCCAGCACCCACATGGCAGCTCCCACTTCTCTACAACTCCAGTTCCAGAGAGTCCAACACCCTGTTCTGACCTCCCTGGGTACCAGGCATGTACTTGTTACACAGACGTTCATTTGAACACAACACTTATTATACACATAAAAAGTTACAAAAATAAAAAGGAGTGAAGAGACTAGCCAGCTCAAGCATGGTGGGCAGTGTGACTCTGACAGGCCTTGACCTTCTCCCTCACTCCCTTTACCTTGCTAAAAAACCTCTTAGACCACACTCCTAAAGCTAGACCCTAAGGTCTGTTTCCTTATTTGGCCAATCCTTCCTCCTGAGACTGACTACCTACCAAGGTCCTGCTAACAAAGTATTGAAGTCCAGCAATCAAAATCACCTTTTGACTCACCTAATTAACATGCCCAATTAAAATTATACACCTCTTCCTAACATGGGGTTTCCCCTTGAATCTTTATAAACTGCTATGTGCCATGTCTGTCTCCTCTCTATCCAAAAGCAGTCCTTTGTCCTCTGAGACAAATACCCTTGCTCCTTTTTCTTATTCGCTTCCCCTTCCCCATTGCCCTCTAACTCCTGTCTTTATCCCTTATCCCTGCCCTCTGTCCGTCTTGGATAAATAAATCTTCTTTGTGTTGAGAACTTGGTCTTGGGATGTCTTGAGAAGACTTCAAGGTTCCCTATAAGGAGAAGACGAAGAAAGCTGCCTGAGTATGAACCAGGGAGAAGAAGCCAGGAAGCAGCATTTTGCTATGGTTTCCGCCCAGACTTACCTCAGTGATAAAGTGATGGTCTGTGACCCAGAAGTATACAGAGAAGTAAATCCTATCTCCGCCATGTTGCTTTTGGTCCTGGTGTTTATTCAGAGCAACAAAATACAAACTGGGTCAGGACTTAGGCCTCTTTTTCGGGTGATGCAGCCAAGATTTATCTACCATGCACTCAAGAGTTGAAAGGGAAAGAGAAGGGGCAAAAAAAAAAAAACATAACAATAAAATAGAAATGTCCTATATCAAGTATCAGGAGAGAATTAAGAAGCAGGGCTAAAAATTGGGTGTGGTTACACATTTCTATGATCCTGGCACTTAGGAGGTGGCGGCAGGAGGATCGGGAGCTCGAGATGATCCTCAGCTATAAAGAGTTCAAGCTACACTTGGTTACTTGAGAGCTTGTCTCACAGAAACAACAAAAACAAAACCCATGCTACCTAAAAGGCAAAATAACAAGGAAGGAGGCATCCACCCCAAAGCAGGAAATGGAATAAATCTCTCAAAATAACAGAAAGTACTATGATGGAAAGCTACAGAAACTTAGGATCTGTCATCTGGGGTATCTGAAGATGATATAAAGTTTGTTGTTTCTGGAAAACTGGGAAATATAGAAATAGGTTAAAGTGCTTTTCCAAATCACCAAATTGTAGAAAAATAACTCCTTAAACGCAAAGGGTACCGTCCTGGTCGTGGTGCAAGGCACTTGGACGATATCCCACTTTCTTCCATCGTATGAGTCTGCAAACATTTATTTTAGAGGCATTTTCAAGAGCCAGCCATAAATACAACGAGCCCATAAAGGCTTTACCCAAACTGTATTGGAAAGAAACTAGGGGGAAAACCCTTTTTAAACGTAACTTATGGGCTGGGGAGATGTCTCAGAGAGTAACATGATTGCCAGAAAATCTTAAGGGCCTGAATTCAGATCTCCAGTACCTATATAAAAAGCCACATATGGCTGGTGCAAGCCTATAATCTCAGTCCCTGTAAGGTGGAGACAGGAGAATTCCTGGGACCTGCCAGCTAGCTAGTCTAGTCAGTCTGTGAACTCCAGATTCAGTGAGAAATCCTGTCTCAAATACATAAGATGAAGAGTATTTGAGGAAGAGACAGGGCATAAACCTCTGGCCTCCACATGCATGTATACATATGTGTATGTATACCTGAATACACACGCATACACACACACACACACACACACAAGTAATTCCCTGAACTGGGTACCATAAGAGGTCATCTTTGGTTTCCCAACTGAACCTTTTCAAGCATCTCATCAAAAAACCAAAAATAAGACGAAAGTAATCCCAGTAACAGAATTAATTAGTAACTAATTCTAATCCAGGATTAGAATCAGAAAAGAAGAAAGAACTAGATTCTCAGATATGCTCCACGGGCTCTCACCCCTGTCACCAATGAAAACTGAATCATGTACATGATATCCAAATTAATATATTTTAAGAATCTTTAATGCAATACACCACATCTTACAATGCTCAACAAAATTTCTCTTTTAAATGAATGGCAAGAAACTTTAAAGGAAAAGCGTGTATCTGGAAACCCATAGATTAATGAAACAGTGTGAGAAGACTGTGCCAATTAATCATGATTTATTGATCACATCCTTGGTTCCCACTTCTTTCTCAAGTATATAAACTGCAAGCCTCCAAGGGTTGTGTGTAGGGCTGGAAAGATGGCTCAGCAGCTAAAGATGCTTGCCACCAAACCCTAAAACCAACCTGAGTTTGATTCCCAGCTTTCATATATGTCCACAGAGTTTTCCTTTGGCTTTTAAACATGTAACATGGCACACACACACACACACACACACACACACACAGGTTGTGGTGGTTTGACTAAGAATGACCCCCACAGGCTCATAGATTTGAATATTTGTTCACCTGGGAGAGGCACTATTAGAAGACTGTGGCCTTGTGGTAGGTGTGGCCTTGTTGGAAGAAGTTTGTCATTGGGGTTGGGCTGTGAGACTTCAGAAGCCCAAGCCAGGACCAGTAGTTCTTTCTTCCTGCTGCCTGCCATTTCAGATGTAGAACTCTCAGCACCATGTCGGTCTGTGTGCTGCCCTGCTTCCCACCATGCTGATAATGAACTAAATTTCTGAAACTGTAACCCAGACTCAATTAAATGTTTTCCTGTATAAGAATTGCTGTGGTCATGGTGTCTCTCCACAGCAATGGAACATTGACTAAAACAAAGGCTGTGTATGGTGTGTGTGTGTGTGTGTATGTGTGTGTGTATGTGTGTGTGTGTGTCTAAGTTAATGAGTAGTTGTGTATTAATCTCCATCTGTCCAATGTACTCTTGTTAAAGTCATATAAGGAAGATTATGTAGGTCTCAAAGACTGTAGAGAGTTGACTATGCTGGTGACTTCTACAGAAGTCATGGCCCTGGCCCAGTCTTCTGTTCTGAAGTTATAGTTCCTTTCAGATTCCTGTCTGCCCCTGTAGGTTTTCAAAGAATTGAGACTCAGTATCCTAGTACTGAAGCCAGCAGCATCCTTAACAACTTGTCTCTTTAGGTGATAGCCTTTCTTGAGTATTGCCTGTATGTAGTACTAACCAAATTGTTCAGGCCAGAGACCTAGGTTCTTTATGCCCCCTCTTTCTTCCTCATTCTGCATCTAAATTTTCAGGAAAAAAAAGTATTTTTCAATGCCACCTCCTAAATGTCTTTCAAACCCATTTTCTTTTAGAGGGCTCTCTTCAGACTCCTACCCTTTTGGTGACTTTCTGTCCCTTTTGTGGTCCTTCTCTTGATTTCACCTTCCTGGACTACCAGCAGCAGTCCCTCTGAGATGTGAGCTAGATCCCAACTTGATTTATGTGACTAACTCAGATTTATCGAAGACTCCTTCCTTCATGATGATTTAACTGCTGTCTCGATACCTTTGTAGTATTACATGTATGCTTCTTATTGGCATGAATCAGCTCAGATTGAGGCAGATTTGCTGTCTCCATCTCTCTACACTTTGCATTATGGAGGATAAATGATACGTCTTTACACAGCCTTTAAAATCTCCCACCCTCGCCTCAGTTTCTGGCACAAAGTAAGTGTTCAATAAATCTTAAATGCAGTGGCAACTTCCCTGTCATCTCCTAGCACAGCACAACCCCAAATAAATCTTAATTAAATGAAATCGATGAAATGTGATACCCAGGGAAACTTGAGGTTAACTCAAAGCAGAAGACTCCTTTCCCAAGGAAAAGGACTCCTATAGTCCAGGGAGAAATGCAGCTAGTCCCACGGATGGAGAATCAGACCACTACCACAGTTTAAAACAAATCAGAAGCAAGCTTTAATTAAATTCTCGCCAGATGGATGGGCTCTGGCCCGGTCCATATCCAGGTTTCTGGGAAACGGCACAGAATCAGTTTGCAGCAGCTTAAGAAGGAAAATCCACAATTCTTTGCATTTCCCATTAGGTCCAATCAGGGACAAGCATGCATCCTGATGTATTTTCTCCCTGTGACCCTCCCACCCACAAGTGATCAAGCAAATCCAGTGCAGAGGGGTCAAACAAACTTGTTTCGGGGAATGAAAACAGGTGACTTGTTCTCTGCTGTAGACAATAGCCTCCAGCATTTTTGAGAACTATCTGTCCTCGGTAAGGGCCTTGCAGATCAGAGGCCTTGTTGTCTCCTGGATCTCTTAGGCATAAGTAATTAAAATGTAACTTTGGCTCTCACCAGGATCATGTGCCGAGAGAGAAAGGAGCAGGAATGAGAAGTCTGTTCAGAGGTTGAGTCTAGCACACATGAGGAAAGAGGAGGGAGGAACAAGGAAGCAAATTCAGAGTCCTGGTGATCTGGAAAAGGGGGTAGGGCAGAGGGGGGTCATGTTCAAAATAAATGCCAAATTACATGATACAAATTCCTGCTGGGGGGGGATGAACGAGATAAGTGGAGAAATCCCCAAGTCTTGGGGCACAGACAATAGTACTGTTAGCTACCAAGAAAAAAAATCAGTAGGCAGAACCAAGGAGATGCCTGGTCTACATACACACAAGGTCCTTTAGGAATTATTATGGGACTAGGGACATGAAGATGCTACTGATTTTTTTGTGATATTTAGCAAACCAAAGATTTTAGATAATGTGCCAAGACACATGGACTAATGCTTACCGTCTCTCATTAGACTACCATCTCTCATTAGACTTCGACTGTGATCACCTCTTATTCTTCCAGAAGGTGCTTCCAGTCACAAGCCAGAAAAGAAGATACGAGTAAACGGCAGTGTGTCAGCCACTGAGGAGTTGTGTTGTTGACTTAAATTGGCAAGATTACTTTCTCCAAGTCGTTGACTGTGCTGTTGAGTGTGAAATGGCAAGGAGTGAGCTGTGAGCCACAAGACTAAGATTTCTTTTTCTTGTATCGACCTGTTGATTCCTTGAACTTGGGACCAGTGGTTTCACATTCAACTGATGAGTCTAACTGACAGCAGGCGGACTTTGCTGCAAGCTGGTTAGCGGCGTGCTTTTCACATGGTTAGCTTCCGGAGCACACCTAAGCTAAGACAAGAGGGTTGTGGGTTCAGCACAGTGTGACCTAGATAAAGAGTTCAAGACCTGCCTGGGCTGGATGGCAAGATCCTATGGCACAATCCTATAATGCCAGAACTTGTGAGGTGGAGAGGCTGCCAGTTTTGACAGTATAGCAAGTTCAAGGTCAGCCTTGGCTACAGGAATTCTGCCAAAAACCCAAGCCAACCAAACAATACCAATAGCAACAACTACTACAAAAGAAAAAGAAACCAAAGAACCAAACAGAACAAAGCCTGGCTTGTTCCTCTTGCTCCGCTTCATGATGACAAGTGAATGGGTGACAATTGAGACGGGAACTTCTTCAAGGGATTCATGTGAAAGATCCCTCACCGATGGCACCGACCCTTTAACAGTTTGGTGGTTTTGGCTTTTGTTGTTTTGCCTTGTTTTGTCTTTTAAGGAAACTAGTAGAATTCAGAATTCTTGCTCCATTGCCCACAGGTTGGTTCACAGTAAGCACAACGCTCCCTAAGGGAGCAGGCCCTAGAATAAAAATGGCAGGCCTGGGTCAGAGGGCTGCACTCCAGGCGGCGGGCCTTGTGCGTTCCAGATGTAGGCTCCCAAGGCACAGCGCTGAACTGCCCTGGGAGAACGTGTCCTTACCTGCACATGGT